AGGCGGACTCGCACTAAAGTCCACACCAACAAGCTACTAGCTAGGGTGGACCGGGAGCTGAAGGATTTGCGGGAGAAGCATGAATGCTTGTGGGGACAGTATAATCTCGTGCGGAAGTCGCACACCCACTACGACACATTGAAGAAGGCGAGACTGGAAGAGCTCACCAGTGATGTGGTGAAGACCACGGAAGAACTGATTTTTGAGAAAACTCAGAATCAGATTCTGTCAGAAGAGCTCGTGCCACAGACGCGGTTGTTAGAGGAATGTCAGCTCGCACGACAAACGGATGAGGATTTGATCCGCAGGCTGCAGTCGGAGTGCGGGGAATTGAGAGCTCAGCGTGCGGAGGCCGAATCGCAGTTGGTAGTAATTGAAGATGATCGCAGGCGAGAGGCAGATCGCACGAAGGAGGAGATGGCGAGGCGAGTCGCCCACTGTCTTAAGGGCTACGCCCACTGGGAAGTGGCGGCACAGGAGAAACTCACACTGCGTGAGTTGGAGCTTCGTGCAGCCGGGTTGTTGTCAGGTGACAGTAGGAGTCGGCGGAAGGTGGCGAAGAAGTTAGACTCTTTTCTGTCGAAGGCGCGGGATACCATGTCCACCCTCGAGGCGGAGGTGTCCGTGGCGTTGCAGCGTTTGGGACTGCGCAGTCGAGCGGAAGACTGGCAGGGTAGGGAGTTAGTGCGCGGCAGTCCGTCGCGCAGGAGGCGAAGCACAGGTTCTACGGAGTGTAATGTAGCGTGGTTCCGTGCCGGCGCATAGCATAGTGCAGTGTAGTGCTAGTTAGGACTTAGAAGGTATAAAGTAGTTCAAGGCGTCTTGCCTTGGGTTCTTTCCCAATTTCGGAAGTGCAGATCAGGAACTCATTTTCTCTGCGTGTTTGTGTTCTTAGTTCTGTCACCGCGCAAGGGGAGCTACAACTTGGCGTTCCGCATTTTGTAGCTGAAGGCCTTCGGCCGAATGTTCAGAGCTAGTACATTGGTTAGAGACTTGAGTAGTTCGGATCTACACCTGCGGGTGATTGCCAATGCTCAGAGCCAGTGACTAGTTAGATACTTGAATAGTTTCGCCCCTACACCTTCGAGTGATTGTTCTTGATTGTACTCCTTCGGAATTTTTCCCCTGAATGCCAAAGTGAAGTTTTGCTACTTCGTGTAAGCCTTGGTTGTAAATTCAGGTTACGCTGCAGCAGGTGCCTTCAGGGTAGCCCCTGTAGTATTTCTGGGAATGACAAGTGCCTGAGAATTCAAACTCTTCAATAGACTGTTATGGTGTGTTACTGGAATGTTTCTCAGTGAGTCCTTCAGTGCGGACCTGTGTTCTCTGCGCGTTTTGTGAGTTGAGAGTGTTGTTCACCGCGTCTGAGTGACTTCGATCCGAAGTAGGCAGTCCAAACCGGGTTTCCTACGCTAGCAGCAAGCTAGTGGAAGTGTTGTAAAAGCCGGAGTTGGGAGTCACTACCCGCAGCTTCGCTGAGTACTCGCGAGAGACTTTTCCCCCCTGAAATCTTGAGTAGAGGTCCTAACGGATCTCTGGGTTGTGTTTCTGTAGTTTCAGGTGTGTGTTTGATACGCTGCACTGTGCGACCTCCGAGTGCGCTCCGAGTGGACACTTGCAGTATTTCTGGGAGTGACAGTCGCCTGAGAATTCAAACTCCTCAAGAGTGTGTTAAAACGTGACACTTTGTACCCTGTGTGTTCCTCTGTCCCTGTGGGTTCGACCTTTCTACCACTACATTGCAGTTTTAGCCTTTAGTGGGTTATTACAAATCCACTGATCAAGGGTTAAAATTTTTAGATGAATGATTGCGTCAGCAGCTAGAAAACACCAAATGGTTGGATTCATGAGATTATTGGAGATGATTTGCAAGGCAAGATGAATACACATGAACTGACTCAACATGTGGGTGTTAAGCTTTGGATTTTTGGTAGCCGCACAATGTTGTTTGATCACCTTGAACTTATTTCAAAATGATAACCAAACAGAATTGTGATACATGGCAAGATTGAATTGCAAACAATTCTTGATCGTCATCACATATGATCTATTATGTTACAAATTGATCAACTTCATGGCGTTCTCTTTGATAATTGATTGATCGCATTGTCTTTTTCATCTTAAATCTGATGAAATTTTTTTTTTCCACAACAACACACACAATTGCAGGCCAAGAAATAACACAATGAAGGGTGTACTTGTCCTTGCCTAGGTAAGAATGAATGCCAGATAAATTTTGTTTCTTTAAAAAACTGACCTTCATTTGATGTTAAAGCAATTGGTATTTGGTTCAACCCTTAAAATGCTGAAACTCATTGTGATTTTCGTAGGTCTTGAGATAGAATAGAAACATGTGTTTTTTGTTCATTGACATTTTACACCGGCATCCTCGCTCTTGTGCGACTAATGTGAACGCGAAATAGACATTGAACAGTGTTTTGCTATCAAAAATATACGCACAATGATTGAAACAAACATGTTGTAGAAATGATATGAAAGGAAAAAATCATATGAAATGTACTTGGATACTTCAATTCAAACCAAGAAAATATACACAACTATCCAAACAAACATGCTATAAAAATGATATGAAAAAATAGAATATGAAAGAAAGATATGAAAAATACACAAGAATTTTTGTTCTAGTTAAGAAAAGACGCACAATGATCAAAACAAACATGCTATGAAAATGATATGAAAAAAAAATGAAAAAGTAAAATGAAATGTACCTGAGCTCTTCTGTTTCAGCCAAGAGAGTACTCACAATGATAAAAATTAACATGCTATTAGAATGATATGAAAGAAAAAAATATGAAAATGTACCAAGACCTTTGTAATATAGCCAAGAAAAGATTCAAAATGCTCAAAACAAACATGCTATATAATTGATATGAAAGTAAAAAAGTTAAAAGAATATGAAATGTACTTTGGACTCTTTCGTTCTAGCCAAGAAAATATTCACAATGATCAAAACAAACATGTTACAGAAATGAGATGTAAGAAATACAGTGGAAAAAAATTGAAATGTATGCTATCTGTGTTTTTCTTACTTCTTCTCTTTTGTGAACAACTTGCTGAGTTTAAACGATTAGAAATTTGGGCATCTATTCGCAACTTTCGGTCAACTTACAAGTTTTGTGATCTGAAGATCAACAGAAAGTTCAAGCACATGCATCCATGGGTTGTCTCGGGAACACATGTTTCTACCCTTATTTCCTCCTCCCTGCCTTCCCCTTGCCTGGGTGTGAAGAAGTTTACTATGACCATCTTTATAACGTATGGAATTTTGACCACATTAATTTTAACAAATTGGCCAGATTAATTCTGGCAATTTTAGAAAATAGAACATCATATTGCAGGAATCTTACGATAAACTCCAATGATAGTTTAACCTCCAATATCACTTTTGTTGATATTACTTGGGTGTAAAAGCTAAAGTGCAATCGAGAAGATGACAAGAAGAGAATTTTCAAAGCTAGGTTGAAGATCATAGATTTCACACAAGCAAAAGTTGTGTATTAGAATACAATTTTCATAACTGTAGCAATGTATATTAAAATTTGAATACTATGTGCATTTCATGCAATATTTAATCTAGTTATAGATGAATGTAGTTATAGCACTGCTCTATGAATCTTTAGAGTAAAAAAATCTACATAAAACAACTTGTTGACTTTGAAAAGAAAGTTCAAAAGAAAGTAATTTGTAAATTGTTGAAATAATTATATGGATTGAAATATCATTGGACAAAGAGACTAACATTAAAAGTATGATCGCAAATAAATGAAAAGTAAAGTGATAACATTTCATTCTTTTTGTTACAACTATGGTCAAATAAATTGATCTATTTCCATAAAATTGCAAGATAAAAAACTAGATATGATGTAGATATGGCTACATTGGTTGGGATTGTGCATAGCAATGAGTTCATGACATGTACCATGTCTCCACTTTACTCAAAGTGGAGACACAATGTCTCTGAAATAGTAAGAAGAAGTCAAAATAAAAGTGATATGAAGTCCAAAGGATGAGCTAGAATCTAGCTGAAAACATTGATTGCCAAGTAGAGTATATGATTGTTCATGAGGTTGTGCAAAGAGACACATGAGACTACAAGTAATTGTATTATCTTCATGAGACTGCCTCTATTGTAGCACAAGTGTAAGCTACAAAATCTAGTTTTCTGTCGTAAAGAGCTACAGCAAACTCTTGAATATGATACAAACTAATTCAAATATTTCATCATAGTCAAAATAACTAGAGTTAACCACTAACAATCTCTATTTCATGGACAATGCTCACATAATAAATTCATATATAAAAGTACAATAATTGTCAGTCCACTCTACTTGTTATCCTTTGTACAATACATGCATAAATCAAAACTCTGCACATGAATAATTGGATCTCTTCACCCCTGTAATGCCATTAAGAATTGAAAATTGTATGATAAAGCTATACTGTATCTCATTTGGATGAGCTTCGCCTTGATTTTTGTTGAAATGACTTGGTCATTATCGTGATCTTCGTTTTCAAGATCACTAAATGTGAGGACATGTAGTGTTTTTACTACCATGAGGATGGAGGGAGCAGAGGAGGCCATGAAGGACCGTAGGCTTTGGAGTCAGGTTCACTGTTGTTGAGAGTACCAAATCTAACAGAGCTACTTGATTTCAAATGCGGTGAGGAGTTTTGACCACGAGAGAAAATCTTGAATGGGCAACATGCGAGCAACGCATGACGCATCCAACTGGCTGTTGGGACTAGTGCCTTGGTTGCTCGGCTTGGCTAGCGGAGGGTTTAGAAATTGTGCATGTCACAAAATGCAAAATCGAAACAATTAAGCTTGATACGTTCTACTGTAGTCTTTCAAACTTCTCGTCTGTTTTACCAAGTGATTGTGTTAATATGTGATGTGTGCTTGTGAGGTGCTGTACCGTTTGACAGAGAAGAATTACTGAGAGGTGGGGGGAGGAAGGGGCAGAGAGAGAGATATATACAATCATGACATATACATTGATAATACCGAGTACTTTCCTGTGAAATTTCGATACTTGATACAGTGATCTTATAACTCTATCACCCGTGAAGAATGCAACACCATCGACAGCTCCTGCTGGTTGTAGTCAGAGGCTTGGAGGCCTGCTGAGATCTGCTCACAGTCACAAGACCTCGGACAAGCAAGCCCAGCTAGACAGAAACCGTGAAACTCTGAAGATTTCAACCTATCTACTCCTAACAAACAGAACCGCATAGTGATAGGTTTCATTTTCATGACCCAAGGCACAACTTTGATTCTCAGAAGCCGCTCTTACAACAGGCTTGAGTTCACTTCACTGATTTCAGTACTTGAGTGCTCGAGAGTTCTGAGTAATGAACGACACAGTCATACCTTCAGACTAAGCAGTGGAGAAGCAGGATTATGTGATGACGGTGAGCCGGATCTTCAGTATTATTTCACAAACATTGCGGCCAAGACAATAAACTCACACGAATTATTTATTATGACACACGTCGCCCGACGACAGCAACCGTTCTATGCATAACCAGAATCTTCAAATATGGTGTGGCTCATGGAGCCAAGACCCCTAAGCCTTGGCAGACTAAATTAACACTTCCTCTGCATAAAACTCGATGAAACAAGATCAAATGAAGTATGAGAAGAGAACTTCAACACTGCGCTCCCTCTGTTCAGAAAACGTCCTCTGCGATAGAACTGTTTGGCCAGTCGTTTCAAAAACTCTCCACTATCCCCAACATCGTCCCTCAGTTTCGGCAAGCACAGGCAGCCCCAAGGACTCTACATTGCGCCTTCAGGAAATCCCGGCAAACGTCGAACGCACCAACAGTGCGAACCCCTTTTGGACCGACAGAGAGCTGACTTTTTGCAATCCTCAAAGGCCATGTCTCAAATAGCGTAAGCCGAAGCCGGATGATTGATTGGTACTCCGAAGTCCCAACACAAGTTGCCACCAACAGCAGCCTCTGTTTCTCGAGTACTTTGGATTGTACTTTTAAGTGTACTAATGATTGGGCATGAGCATTCAAACAAAACAAGAACGTATTTCTGCATATGCACCGAGCACGAGCAGCAGCTGCCGCTGGAATCCGCTGACCTGTCATCGAGGGATCAAAGCGACTAGACCTTACTTTGGCATTATTGCGGACAAAAATGACAAAAATGACAAAAATGACATTACTTTGAAATCAAAAGATCAAAGTAATGTCAAAGATGACAAAAATGATCCACCCTGTTGATGACTAAAACCATAAAACGACACAATCTCAGAGCACAAGCGGCAAGTCTGTTCGCACAGGGCCTCCGCCGTTTTCTGCGGATTCCATGGCGAATGCTGCATTACTATCGACGTACTTTTGCAGTACACTGAGATGAGATCCGAGAAAATGCTTTGACAACGCGAACGCTGGTAGGGGAGTACTACATTGCAGCCTCGGCCTGGCAATCGTTGACAGGAGCATGATGGCAACAGAAAGCAGAATTGGCCTGGTGTTTTGACGGCACATCTCATCTGGGGAAGAGAGGTGTGGATTATGCTGGGTGATTAACCGACCGCTCATAGATCTGGAGGCTGTAGCGGCTGGTGGCAGCAAGCTACACCTCTACTGTGGGCGAAGATTCAAGCGCGCCTATTCAATTCAATCCAAGAAAGTGTCTGGCCGTGGTCCCACGTGAGGAGGAGGTCAGCCGGTGTGATTCGGGCGCGGGTGCTATAAAAGCGTCGTAATGCCCAGATACCAATGTCCAAGTCTGCCAAGCACAATCTGCCTACCACCAGTATAGGCCTGCAAATCTGGCAAGATTCACAAGGGAGCCGGGAGGCGGGGGAATGGAGTCATAGGGCTTAGTAAGCTCATCATCGTGAAGATTTGGACTTGAAAAATTCGGTGACAATACTTGGAAGTTGGCTTCTGACATCCGCAGCCATGGCGTTCGTTGCCAAGACTGCAGTTCTCCTCTTGTGGGGACTGCTTCTGTTCTGGACAATCGAATGGCTCATATTTCCCACGGAGGCAGGAATGGAGTACAAGGCAGGAGCCATTAAGGACACTCGGTCAGATTTCTTGGACTTGAGTGGTAAGAAGAAGAGAGACAGACAGGAAGACACCTGAAAGTCTCCGCTGCAGAATTGCAGCTTGCTTGTGAGATTACCTACTGGGCCTAGTGGGGCGACTAGCAACACTTCCAGCAAGCAATTCTAGTCTCTAGCACGCGCAGGACCATCATAACAGCTGTTCCCGTATGACCGTTCTCTTGATTTGTTGCATACTTTTCTTGAAGACAGATCCCTCAGAATCGCAACTGATGGACAATAGTCTCGTGCAAATCGTGCAGGACCCTACTATCTCATGTACACTCTGCCCGTGTTTCTCTTCGCGATTCTTACTCTCGTTTACTTGGAGCTTCTACGAAAGTATCCTGAGCGGTAAGCAACCCTCTCCTCATGGATCACACTGGTGGCAGTTTTTTTAATATTAGTTGTAATTTTGGTTGGTGGTCGTGGGACAACAGACTTCCTGTTAAGCTAGTCAGAAACTCAATGCAGATCCGAATATCTCAAGAGGTTTACCCCTACCATGGTTAGACAGTTGAGGTTTTTTTAACTTAGAAGATACTTACTTGATGACTACAATCTTGGGAAGAAGCATTGAACCAAAAAAAAAGAAGCGAATCAACACGCGCATGCACCTCATCCTTAACAGTTGTTCAAGATAGCTCGAAGGCAGGAGGAACTTTGGACTCTTTGCCCTCTTGCATATCCGAAGTAAGAGATTTGCATGGACTCTTAGACTGGGATCTCTGGCCGTGGGCAGAGGTTACGGAATTTGCAGATTACAGGGCACTGGTTCAGACCAAGAAGTGTTGATTGCATGATGATCATATGTTCAGGATTTGATAAGTTGACTTTACTTTTGCAGTGAGCAAAGGACCAGCGAGCTGCCAAAATGGAGTCGATTTTGGGTAAAAATTTCCAATGCTATGTGGACACAGCCTATACTAGTGGGAACTCCTATGGGTATTTTGACAGGAGCCGATTTGGCGTTAATCACTATTGTTGGCTTTGGTTTCCTTTGGTTGTTCTGCAACCAGCTCCTGCCTGCTCTTGACCTCGTCGATCACACCCAGATGAGGCCTGGAAGAGAAAGGTACTCGTTTTCCTATTGCATCCAATGACCCGGAGCATGAAAATTCGATCAATCACGCCCGGAAGTAAAGTTATCACATGTTTCGGAAAATGCTTCCTACTTATGGCAGGGTGATATTTACTGCTGATTCCGCTGCTGATTTTACAGATGGATGATAAAGGTGGGAAGAGTTGGAACTTGGACTGGACGCGCGTGGTACTTGCCCATGGCCCTTTTGTTCTTCCCCATTTCCAGGGCGTCTCCAATTCTGCGACTGCTGAACATGCCATTCGAGCACGCTGTCCGATACCACAGATGGCTCGGTCACCTTTCCCTCTGGGTTCTGTTGACTCACTCCATCACGTTTTCTCTCCACATCTACTACACTGGAGGCCAAGTAGCCGATGGAGTGAGTAATGCTGGCCTGCAGTGCCTCCTACTGATTGGACTGATCAAGTTCAGAGATTGTGGATATTTCGAAATTTGTAGAGCCACAAACATTCGATCGTTCATTGGTCTTGTTGACTAGTTCATGATCTGTCACTCAAGTGAAGCCGGTGCTGAATGATCTCCTTCTCCCTCTCTCTCTCTCTCTCAACACTGACCTTACTATTTCTTCTGATAAAATGCGTGCAGATTTTCAAATGGCCGAGATTCGGAGTGTCCAACTTGGCAGGAGTAATTGCCATGATAGCTGGAATCGTCTTATGGGTCACGTCCCTGGAAGTAGTCCGCAAGCGATTCTTCGATGTATTCTACGTCACTCACCACATGTATCTTCTGGTATTCGCCTTCGCCGCCTGGCACGTCGGAGAATTCGCCTCCTACTACTTCCTGGGCTGTGTTATGCTCTACTTCATCGACCGCTTCCTGCGCATGGTTCAGTCCCGAGACGCTGTGAGCGTTCTGTCTGCGCAGGTCCTACCCAGTGGGGTCGTCAGGCTCAGGTTCCCCAAATCTCCAAGTAAGTGAAGCCACCGCGAAATTCAGAAGCTTGATGTCTTCAGATACTTGAAAGAATATGTCCAAACATTCGAGCGAGACAGTCCATACGTGTCTGGAACTTCTCGTCATGCTCATCGGATCTACTCCCACTTGCAGGTCTGAGTTACAAAGCACTGGGAATGATCTATATCAACGTTCCGAGCGTTTCACGCTTTGAGTGGCACCCATTCAGCACCACATCCAGCTCCCTGGAGAACAGCAACGACATGTCCATATGCATCAAGCCACTCGGAGGATGGACCCGCAGCCTGTTGGACTCTCTCACCGAGTCCGAACCCTCGAAGAACAAATCTGGAGGCTGCCCCTTGCCACTCAAGCTATTCGCCGAAGGTCCCTACGGTCCCGAGAGAGACTACTTCCTCAGGTAGGTCGAGACTCAATTCCAACGAAAACCTGTGTGCGATGGATGGGCTTGGCTGGGCTCGTTGCAAACAAAGTCATCAGCGCATATTTAAATAATGTGGATTCGTCTGGGCTTCTCGGATTTGCTCAGGTACAAAACGCTGGTGCTCGTAGCCGGAGGAGTGGGAGTCACCCCGTACATGGCAATCATTCGAGATTTGCTGTGCCGCTACCGCCTGGGGCAGGAGGGAATTCCCCAGAACGTGGAGCTCATCTGGTGCGTGCCCAGGAGGGCGGACCTCGCCACGCTGATGGATGTGTCGCCGGCGCAGATCTTCCCGGACTTCGCAAGCTCGAAGCTCAACATCGTGATCAGGGCGTTCGTGACGCGGGAGGGCGGGGACGGCAAGGACGAGGGCAAAGCTGCGGGCCTGGCGGTGGGAGTGCCCGTGGGCTCGGAGGAGGTGCTGTTCACGGCCGCCGACCAGCAGCCGAGGCGCGAGGTGGCGCACATCGGGCAGAGCAATGTGTGGGTGGCCGCGGTGATCGCCGCTGCGACCACGGGCTTCATTCTCGTGCACGGCGTTCTGCACAGCGCCGTGGTGCGGCCCAACAACCACAGCGCGGCCCCGTTCTTCCATGAGCACGGCAGCAGCCACGGCCCCGCCGGGCCCCAGGGCAAGGCCTTCCCCACCGCCGCGGCCGTCACGCTCCTCTTCGTCAGCATGCTTCTGGGCGTCGTCGTGTTCGGCGGAGCCGTGGTCCTGATGTGGATGTGGAGCCGACGCTCGCTCTCGAAGACCGACGCCGCTCTCGTGGCGTCTCCAGAACAGGTGGCGCGGCCCGGCGCTGATGACCTGGAAGGCAACCAGACCTCGCTCCTGGCCCAGGCGTCGATTGCCGAAGGTCCCCGTCCCAACATCGCAGGTAAGAATGTACCCGGAGATTTTTCCGCCCTGACAGGATTTGGGCTGCAATTGAATGACTCGTCGTTCTCAGTTATCCTTTCAAAATTTAATTGTATGTTTCTTCGCGGAATCATCACTTGACCGAAAGCGGTGTGGAAACGCTGTCATTGTCTAATTGTTTCTTTCTTATTGGTATGCTGATATTGACGCACTGGTGATTTGTGCAGACCTGTTCGAGGGAATATCAGGCAAGTACCCAGGTGAGGATTTGGGGGTGATGGTGTCCGGGCCCGAGAGTCTTCAGGATAGCGTGGCGGAAGCATGCCGCAACCGCAACTTCAAATACTGTAACACGCGCTTCCAGTTCTATTCCATCAGCTTCGATCTGTAGGGCGTGGAGTCGGCCTCTCGTAAGGATTGGGATCTTGTCTGTATGATGCTTCCAAGCGGCCAACAATCTCGGAGTTCTTTGGAAGAGCTGTTGAAGAACAAGAAGCGGAAGAATATATGTCTGAACCTGCACATACCAAATCTACAGAGCTTCAATTTTCAAGTAGACACCATTCGGCAGATCATAATATTGTACCCCATACAGAGAAGCAGACAGAAAAAAGGACGGAGAAGCAAGGCATGCGGGGACGAATTGCAATAAGTTTTTGACTTCGAAGTTCAGTTCCAACAAGTATCAACTACAACGACACTTTCAATCGGTAATGTGGATAACCTGTGAGATTGGAGGAATAGGCTGGCAAGGGTGCACAGTATCTACTGGCTTGATGTAATTAGGTGTAGTCAGAACAGTTGGAACGGTTGACGAAAGTACCTCGTTGGAAGATTAAGGCGCAAAGGTGTACAAAATTGTGCAAAATAAATTTAATATTGTCTTATTTGTGTAAAGATATTGAAATTACAATAGGGAGTGGAAAAGCTGATGATCTCCGAATCTTTGAGCTTGCAACAGATTGCTCCTCGCAAAGTTAGCTAAGTAGGCATTCAAACGCTAGATTGTGTGGGGAGCACCACCAGTACTTCTCATTGACAACTCTCAGTATTATACATGTTGTTACATTCCTAATGATCTGCTTATCTGTTAGTAAATAAAGTCCAAATCCTCCACAGATTGTCTCAATTGTATCTTGCAAAGTGATTGATATCTTTGTCTGATTGAATGTTGGAATGGAATTGAGCACAATTTTATCTCTTTGGACTCAAGTATTATCTCTTAGTATTTTGTATAATAGCTGGACAAAGAATTAGTCCACAACAATGATAATCCTTTGGGCCCCACTCAATTTTCATCCAACCCACCTAATCCCGAAACGTCAACATCCAACCAACATACCCTCTCATAATGACCATGATCATTACTGTGATATATATATATATATATATATATAAAATACAACTATGGTGCACTAGGCCATGGTAGCACAGGATCTGAGACATTTTAAATTCGAAGTGAGCATGGAGTCCAGTGGTCTCCTTCCCTCTCTTTCTAGTTCATAATTTCACCGAAACGGGAGAATGTCTTATATCAAGAATCGCTCGTTCAAATCCTTACGTTTACTGTAGGGCCACGACAATCATGGACATGCTATTGAGCCTGGCTCTTACTGAAAACACTTACCCTTGTCTGTAACAGCAATACTTATCAAGCGGAAAACCAATAGCTCGATCTCATATACGATTGATTTCTAGTATTGAACATACAGAGCACTGCAGAGGAAGATCTGCCAGCGCAAAGTGGAGGTTTCTATTGGTAGACATGCATGTAGGGCATCCATGTGACAGTCCGAAGGCAGAACTTTCGCCGGGACTGTATTACACTGCGTCGGTAACGCATGGGCACCCTACAATATGTAATAAATCCTGAGTAAAAGGGTGTAATGGAGTAATCGATATGATGTATGAGAACTACCAAGTGCATAATTTTGGATCCAATCTCTCTATGGGAATTTACAGGGTGACGAACGCAACAGCCACGCTCCCGGGTTGCATAATTCGCTGAGTAGAAAAACTCCTCTCTAATCAAATCGAATGCCTTGCAAATTACAACGTCTGTTCTACTGTTGCGGAAGGATCAGATTCGCTTCGTACTTCAGAATGTATCCAGCTGGGTCGGGAACGGCTACGCTGGCTGTTAAGTAGCCACTCGCTCCTCTGAAGGAACCTGTGCCAGAGTTGACACCCACCTCCCAATTCGGGGCGCTGAAGTTGAATCTGGCAGAGCAGGAGATGGTTCCGGAGTAGCCGGGGATTGTAATATCCTGCACAAAGGTAATGAACTTCTCTACTGACTCTTTTAGAGCCGAAACTTGGCCCGAGCTGTGCCCGATTTGTGCTGAATCATTGGAAACTGTCTCCTTGAGAACGCTGTCGAAGACGGTGATATCGCCGAATGTAGCTGTGCTTCCGAGAGTCATGTTGGGACTGGTGACTATTACAGCGCTAACGTCTGGCAGCACGAAATCGTCGTGCATGTAGTACGTGAACTTCACAGCCTTCAGCTTCAAGGCGCTGGCGGAGCTCCAGCATCCCGACATTTTAGCCTCATTATCCAAATACTAAATGTGAATGACATGCTCGTTTTCACGTCAAGAAATCAGTTGATTTTTGCATGAAAGTTAAACATTGTGGAAAATTCTTACATGTTTGCTTGATAGATTTAGCTTTATATATATCAAAATTATTTAATTTACATATCAATTATTTTGAACGGCTTATTTCAAGTTTTATGTAGCTTAATAATCAATAAATGCTAATAAAAGGAAAAATCGTCATTTTATTCCTATAACAACTCAGTAAGGTTCTCCATGTACTTGATAATATATAACATTGTACGATAAAGCACAAGAAAACAAGTGAGAAACCACGATCATATTCACCAAAAAGGTTGACATTAGGTTACATGGTTAGTCAAAAATATGCTCACAAGAAGTTGAAAATCATAAAATAAATTAATACCTTTGACTAACTTTTTAATTTATTTGACAGCATAAATTTAACACTTTTATGAAAAAAACTTAATTTTGAAATTATATCATCGTCAAGGTTAGTGCTGTGTATAATGATTTGTTGGACAATGAATTAAAATGCCAATATTATATCGTATATAATTCACCAATGATTGTTAATGACATATGGATTTTAGATTATATTTATTCTTATCACATCTATTATATTAGAAAAAAAAATTATACTTTTTTAGTATCAGATGTTTTAATTCATATAGAGAATGATCAACCTCGAAGGATTGAGATTATTCAATATTTTAAGATTCAAATGTTTGATGAAATTCAAAGTATATTAACTCATGTCAGACTTAAATTTGACTGGAATCAATGTATGATATAAATCTGATTGTTATCTTGCAACTTCTAAATCCAATATCAAAATCAATTTTATCTATGTTACATAGATTCAGTTGATTTTATTTTTTGTAAATATTGTGTTATAAAGGAATATAATAAGCACCCTTTGATGTTGAAATTCCTGGTTGTAAGGAATACGTTGACGATGTTCATAGTGATGTGTGAAAATCTTCTTCAAAAATCTTGGAGAAATTTCACCTATACATCATTTATTGATCGTTACTTCAAGTTTTTGTGTGTTTAATCTTTACATCTTTCAAAAGTTAGTAAGTTCAAGTTGACACTTAGACCAAATATAAGGTGAAAGATTTACATACCGATAATGAAGTAAGATTTTTTTATCTTGGTACGAGAAAGAAAAGATTACTCGTCATCTCACCACAATTTATGTCCCGAAATAGTATGCTATTTGTGAAAGTCTCAATCCAACAGTTTGTTGAAGAAGAACTTGCACATGATGTTAAATAAATCTGATTTATCATTTGAATTTTGAGCTAAAGCTATCAATACCATAGTGTATTTGATAAACTTAGTTCCTGCTATTTTCATCAATTTCTTGACATTGTTTGAACTTAGACACAAGCAAATTTTTGTAATTATTGAAATTTTTTGGTTTTACAATTTATACTTTCAAATCTTTAAAAAAAATGTCAATTTGGTAGTGTAATTTTACTAGATTTGATGGTGGTTCGTAGCATTATAGTTATTTTTTAACAGATTTTTAGCCAATGAGCTCATATCGTTGAAAGAGTAATTCTCTGACTCTACATACTAACAAACAAAAATTTACACTGATATATATTATAAAAGGGGGAGCATGATCATGATGTGACACAAGAATAAACTTCAATACAAATGTAACAATTTTGTAGAAGAGTTAGAGTTGAAATATCAAATTATTGTTGATGACTCTCAAATATTAGCACTAGATAATTGACATAAAACAAAATCATCTACTTGAAGATCATCAAATCGATGAGATTTGATGATTTCATGAAAACATAAGATTTTTTAAAGATTTTTTATGATACTTTTATATAAATAAAAAGTTGAGATCTTTGAATCTTTTATTCTAGTATTTAACTTGAATGACATGTTAATTTTGGCAAAAAACCAATCTAATGCAAGATTCAATTAAAATTTGCATTTAAGATTAAAAATTTGGATAAATCCAAAAAAAATATTATTGATGAATATTGATGAAAATATGATGAAGAATAGGTTATGATTGAATCAAGACAAGTACGTTAAAACTATGTTTGACAAGTTTAACTAGGCGAAGTCTAGAGTAATGTGGATTTCTTTGGAAAAACATTTCAAATATTTTGCAACTCAATCTGTGACCAACGTCATTGAGAAAGAAAAAATTGTCATCAATCTCAAATAACAAAACTGTGAGCAACTTCATGTTCATGATAGTGTAGACAAGCTTTGCCCCTGCTTTGACTCTAGGCAAGATGAAAAAACAATGTTGAATCCAAGAAAACTACACTGAGAAATAGTGAAATAAATTCTTGTATTCCAGAATTACTGAGAATTATGATTTATTGTTTTATAGTTTTTTGTACAATGTTAATTCCTTGCTAAACTATGTTAATGATGACTATGGACATGATCAATACAATATGAAATCTACAACTAGGTATGTGGTTACACCTAATGGTAAATTCATTAATTCAAGATTTGTATTGTAGAAATGTGTACCTAAGTATACAATGGCAACAAAAACAATATAAAAGATTCTTTGGTTGAAAATATTTAGAAGTGATTGATATAAGCTCAAAATAAGAACTTATGAATCTTCACTATGATAATCAAAATGTATTACACTTTTTTGTAAATCAAATGATTTATACTTGAGATATATTGATATTATTTAATTACACATGTGGTTTCTGGTACAGATTTTGAAATAATCGAGATTGAATTTGGAATCAATCTTCATATCAATCTGCAAGTTTGATGAAAAGATATCAAACATGCAGTTTGATTAATTATAAACTTTCTTGATTGATATAAACTATAAGCTTACAAACACATAAAGTTTATGCGTTTGTAAGCTTCAATAATTCTATCCGGTTCTTCAAAAATATGAATATTAATTTCATTATGATATTTTGTGTTAGAATTTTTTTTTGTTTGCTTCAAAATCAATCACAACTTTCACATTGTAAATTTATTTCCATCATCTATGATAATTAATTGCTATTGTAATTTGCTTCTTTCATAAAACTCCTACCATTCTTTCTCTTTAATCTTTTCTTTTTTGTTTGGTGAAACAGATGGGTTGAATATTTAAATCACTACATTGTACCCTTTTCATGATATATCACTCTACGCAATCATAGTTTCAAAGAATCGATAATTTTTTAGATTGCTGCCTTGTTGTTCTATGGATCAAACATGTTGGTAACATCTAAAAGTGTGCTTTGAAGCAATCCATAATCAGTTGATGTGGTCAAACTAGGCCATGCCAATTGTGGAAAGGCATCTATCATGGTGTAAACTGTTTACAAGCTGTTGTTGCCACAAGTTGTCGAAACTTATAAGTTTTCAATTTCACTTTTGATTTAGGTTCGAGTCCAACTTTGCCATATCTTGGAATCTGGATATTATGAGTTGGGATCTTCATCACTGCTCCATCCACACCCGGTCGCGATGTTTTCAATTGTCACAAAATTCTTGTCTATCTTACTGGTTTATTTTTCATTTGCTGCTTGGGAGTAGAATCAGAAGTAGAATTCATTGGATCACCAATAACGGAAAGGTTTCACATCTGGGCAGTCCAGAAATACCGTCATATGAGAGAAAAATATGAAACGCATAAAACCGAGATCAGATATATGTTACGACACCTGATCGCAGAGTCTCCACTTGCTTCGTTTGCCTACTCGAAACAGAAGGTATCAATCATGAAGAATCATCCTATAAGATCAAGACTTGGATTCTGTGCATGATGAAACGATAGCTTGTATTGAATAATAAAAAAAGGGAAACTTAGGCTACACAGAGTATTATAGCAGTAGACATGCATGCGATATACAGCGCCACTCCAGCTGCTGGTCGTCTTATGAACCCTGCAAACTTTTACTTAACAAATTCCATCCCCTGTAAATCATGTATCCCCGTCGGTTCAGCAATTCTAGATCTCCTAAGAGGGTATAAATTCCACCTAGTCTTTCCAGTTCCACTCAGATCATTCCTTTGATCTAAGGGACAGGGAGATCAGTTTCTCTAGCTCCACGTGAAATCAAAACCAAAATAGATTGACCTCCATTTCTTTGCTCACAATCGACAAGAAGTTCCATCCACGTAAGATTTTGATATTTCATTTCATATTTTATAACATATCTCTGCATACAGTACATCATCAGTCATTTATCTTCTTTCGACATAATCCTCTGAAAATTGCTAAGTAAAATTCTAGGGCCTAGGCCCTTGGTTTCCACTTATATTTAGTCCTTGTAAATCTCGTGGGTCCTCCCATCGTATTTTTTAAACACTTGGCCCATCTTCCTCTTGATGTTAACATCATATTGGAAATTGAGGAATATTCGATTTCTCTTCTCGACTTTATCAAAAAATTTCACCTAAACTATACGTTATCACTTAATCTCCTAACACAGTTTCTCATCCAGCTGGGAAATATATTCCCTTGTCTGGTCCATCTCGTGAAGAAAAGATTCACTCAAACTTAATGTACCAATTGATCTCCTAACATAGATGTTAGGATATTAGATGCATGGCATGCTAACAAACTAAGAACTCACTCCTGCAATTGAAGACGGGAATGGATGGTCGTATGGTCGGTTTCGAACCCTTGTATCTCGAACGAATGTACTCTCCATCTTGATAGACAATCCAGATGGTGAATAGCCCTTGTGATATCCTTGAAAATGTAACTTTAGTTCCTAACCCGGATATTATCATACTCCAGGATTACGATACCAGATTCACTCTCCTGATAGGCGGAAAACCTGAACGTTTTATTGATCTCCTGCTCTTTATCGTAATCCTGGAGTATGAGGAATATACGGGTTAGGAACAAAAGTTACATTTTCAAGGATATCACAAGTGCTATTCACCATCTGGATTGTCTATCAAGATGGAGAGTACATTCGTTCGAGATATAAGGGTTCGAAACCGACCATACGACCATCCATTCCCGGCTTCAATTGCAGGAGTGAGTTCTTAGTTTGTTAGAATTTCATAGATTCCAGAGTTATCTGACAATCTATCCGTGTTCAGACATCAAAGAGCAGGGTTCACCAGAAGTTCTACAAGGTTGTGCGATCTAGAGTAAGGAGACGGTCCTTGCCTTTGAGATAGAACTTGACAAGATCTTACAAGGTCGATCTCCAGGTCTTAGAGGCTAAGGCTGATGCACTGAAGTTCAATATCTTGCACTCAATGTATCGAACTTAGTGGGGGAATTGAGGGTCATGGTCAACAGTCCTGCATAGATATAATATTCAGTGTGCTGATGGACAGCGAATCTAAGCTTGTCGCACGTTGCTGGCGGCAAGGAGCGCTCATTTCCAAAGGTATGCTCAGAAAAGGATTGTTTTTATATTCAAGATCGGAGATTGTGCTTCCCGAAAGACCGTCAGATGTGTTCCATTTGCTACTCAAGTTCGTATATATCGGCGCACTGTGCCGGGAGAATTTTGAAGCTCTCAGGAGACACAAGGACGAGCCAGAAGGTTGAACATGTATATACGGACGGCTCGAACGAAAAAAGCCTCAGTTTGTCCCCATTTTCTCTAGACTGGTCGTAAAAGCCCCACCCGGTTTCTGCTGTTTCCTGCTTTGGAGAAGGTGAGGATCAAGCGTAATGATCTTGACGTCTTAGTCAACCAGGTCTCGGAGAGACTAACCATCTTCAGTAGCTTTGAGTCGGTACTCATTGATCTGGACAATACCAGCGGGAAGAACATGGAGATTCTGGAGGCACAACTCAGTCAGGGTCTATTTTCAGTACGATTTGAAGACAATTCTTCGGAAGCTGTTTATCGAGGCCATGAACTTCAATCTTTACAAGCTTCACAAATGTCACCAGAACGAGGAAAAAGCTTGCACATCGTTTTTTAGGAAATGTGTGAAGATATGACAAGTGATCACGTCGAGCACTACTACAGCACTGAGAGACACTTCGTCCAAGCTTGTGCTCTGATCGCTGGATCCTAAGACAGAAATGTCTTTGCTGATGGATTCTGGCATGTCTGGAACTGCGAACGTAGACGAGCTCCGAGCTGTCTTCACGAGTATATTTGAGAGAGACAAAGTCGACAAACGGACATCGCCGATCAATCTGGTTCGAATCCATCGTGAATCTCCTGACCCTCTGAACTTAACCTCTCCCCAATGCGCTTGCAAACGCCATCAAGGACAAACTATTAAGAGCTTTCAGAGTTCGAAAAGCAATCTAGAGCCAAGCAAGTCGCAAGTTGAAATAAGTTCAGCATTTCCGCATTCAAGCCCTGACCGACAGCAACAGGTTAGGATTCTGTTTCTGCTGCAGGAGCATATTCGCAGCCGCCAACTTGTGGACGGGATGGGGAGCCGTGTACCATTGGGAGATCGTGTAGATGCTCCACATTGGTGACGAGCACAAATACACGCTGTCAAGCTCAGTCTGCTGTTGATAAATTACCATAAGACCAGAATGGGAACTTCCGGCCTGCAGTCCATAAGCTGCGAAGCGTTCTCACGTTTACGCTAGAAGTTTGGTTTCTGAGCTTGGAACGCGGAGCCCATGCCCGCGTTCCAAGCTATCAGGAGGGCCTGGTCTCTGTTCCTCGGCAGCAACGGAATCTCGCAGTGCAAGAGGTATGTTCTTCGGAAATGGAGAGCAGCTGCTGAGTGACGAGCCTCCCCCGCTCATCGCTCAACCATGCAAGCATTTCATTTTCCGGCTTGTGCTGGATCGAGTACAAAGGACTTTCACAGTTGTATTGTAAGAAGGTTTCCAAGGACTCGGTGCTTGCTACTGTTGCTGTGCTCGTTTGATGAAATAATTCAAAGAAAGTTGAAGAATGCACGCTCAGTGGTTTGAATGTGTTAATGACAATGCAGTTTCAAGTCTCCTTGTGTCCATTGCTCTCATGTTTCACAAGTCGTTGCAAGGGGCACAATTTCATGTCATGATAAAATAGGTGTCAATACTTGCTGAAAATTAAACAAGATGTGCTGTAGAGACAAAAGTTTCCTACAAAGCTAGAAAATCAAGAAGGGAAAAATTTTTGAAGAGTCAGATTTTGTAGAAGACTTCAGTGTAACGACAAGGAGTTTCTTACTTTAATTGATTGCAGAGATAGCGACAGATGTAGAATAGATATAACAAAAGAATACATCAAAATAGAAAAACTGAAGTAAATGTCCCGAAATCTGATTTTCAATATAATTTTAAATTTGTTTCAATGATATGCATCATGAATTGAAGGGATTTTTATTTATTATTTTTCCACTTTGAAATGTTTGAACCAATCTGAATTTGCTGTGTATAGTGTGAAGATTGTCAATCCTTACAATCTTGTATTATTTAACTGGAATTTTATACCATTCAGGATGCTAATTCAATCTACATATTCAACAGTTAAGAAAGCTCTTACTAATTTCTTCATATTTCATTCTCCTCAAGCACACCTGGAACATTGTGAACAATCCCGAAGGTTTAAAAAAAAAATCGAAGGTGTATATCTGTTTCCAGTTTTACTGATACGTTAAGCAATGTCCTATACAGATACAATGTCCTTACAAAAGGATATTCGTTGTAATCACGCGGATAAAAGTACTGTGATATTATCGTCAAAATCAACCTCTCTATGACCATTATTGTCCAGTATTCCGCAAGCTACGTGATATGCCCGGGTCAGATATCCTACATGACTGTAGCAAATAAGAAGACCAAGAAGATCACTGGATGGTGCATGTCCGACGTGAGGACACTCACTCAAAACGAAACTCGAGAATCACTGTAAAGTGAGGTTGACAAAACCGCTTAGCCGCGAAGAAGCACAGAAGGCAGCCCCTTCGTCGAGCTTCAAAGTCAACCGAGAAATAAATGTTTTCCACTCCAAGTCAAACGGCACCCGTCACTTCGCCGAGTTGGAAAGGAATATCAAATCAGTATCTGAAATGCATCGTAGCCTCATAGACTCTAGTACTCCACTTGCAGATCCATCCAAAGCTGCTTTTCCTTGAATTTATGAGAAGGAGATATTGCCTTCTGGCTCAGCAGCAATATCGGGGTTGACTCCATGTATGTGGGAGGGAACCTAACAGCCGACGAAGGGTTTATTAACTCGTCACACGGTTATGCAGTAATTGTAACTCGATGACGCCTAGGGTGGAATCTCGAGACCAATAAGTCCAACATCTTCTCACGATCCACTCGTCAGTTTTTACTATTGAGATGCAGAAACTTCTAACGAGCTTTGCAGTTCATGTTTATAATCAATGGAGTACATATCCGTATCAGGGCTTGGAGCAAGGCGCGAGTCGAATGAGCTACATACTTCAAGTCTCAGATTTTGGCACTCAGCTTCTCTTGCATGAAAGTTCTAGAGGAGGATGAGGTCGAGATGCAATGCTGAGCGTCCATTCTGGAATCAGACCACAGATTTTACGGAGTACAGTCAGGCCGTCGACCCGTTGTTGTGATCAAGTCTACAACAAAAGGTCGACGCAGTCACAGCTTACAGAAATATTGATTATCAGTGTCGAATATGTCGTCACGCAATTCGGCAGAGATCATCCACGGTGGGCTGCTTAACTGGAACACAGTTCAATCTTTTCTCGGAACTAAGTTTGACGCAGACCTAATTGCTTCAGCGAAGGAGCAGGTTCGCTTCCTGGGGCTTGTGCAGAAGACCCCAGCTTTACGAAGGCCTGAAGTTTTGAAATGCGCCATACATCGGTACGTATTCGCTTCAACTCAATCTGGCAAAATCTCTTCGATTCTCAGGGAATTTGCTAGAATAACAAGATACTTCTGGATCAAAGTGGATACATCTGCTATAGGAAATGGTAGGGATAGAATAAAGCAGCAATAACTCTTCGAAGAAACCAATGCCTAAAGGTTTCTCTATAAATTTGCATTAATATCACCTTTTTTTCCGAGCCGCAAAATCTTCCAAGGCGAGGCTTTACAATTTCCGTACTTCTTCGTTCTCCGGACCCACTGAAGGCAAAGAAGTCTCGGATCCAAATTGCAGCTTAAGCTCTTGATCACTCCCATGCATTTTGGTGTGTTGTTTGTTGCACGTCCAATTCAGATTTCTGCTGCTACTCTAAATTTCTTCCGTTTCATCGGCAGATACTGGAACAACTATCTTCCATTAGCCGCAAAGTTCCAGTCCAAAGGATTTCCTGATGCTGTTCTAGCCAAGACCGGTGCTCATTTTGTACCACCTTTGGATTGCGCATGGATCTGGCATTGCCACAAGCTGAGCCCGGTAAGCCCTCCACATTTCCTCTTAGTGTTTCAATTGTCAATATGGAAGAACAGAAACAGGATAAAGTTATCGTAGTGCAGTAGCCTGTGAATATCGTCGGACGTTTAGAATCTCAAATGGCCTCCGAACAATCGATGACTTCAGGTGCGGTATGCAAGTGACTGCAGAAGATTGTTTGGAGAGATCATTGACATCAGAACCATCCCCATTGAAGGAACTGAGATGAATAACTCAGAACGAGATTCGTGCACTTTGTGGCAAATGGAATACCCGGATGAGCCATACCATCTAGTTCAGCTTTGGGAAGATGGCACCAGCATGGAGTTTCAAAATTCTCTGAACCGCACACCGAAGGAGACTTCTCTCATTGAGCCATACAACCTAGAGGCTGCAGCTGCCAGACAGGCCCCTTTCTACTTTCAGGTGCGTGCCCTTTTTGTCGGCTGAAACTAAGTAATAAGATCGCCATGCTTTCTGCGTCGATTGTCTGAATTCATAGACGGTCGTATTCCGCTGACAGGTAGTGCTCGAATTGCTGAGCCGATCAATTCCGATCGAACGTAATTTCCCCGTCCTCTCCATCGATATTAGTGTGCATTGAAGAGACTCACTTGTTGACCTGCAACTTGTTCATAAGATGACTCGGTTCAAACGCACGTTATATTCAGCGAAGTTCCCAATTTAAAATTTGTGTCTTCTGAGGTTAGATGTTTACAACTGCGTCACATGAGGATGGCAAGATGAAAATTCAGTTGGTTAAATCTGCACAGCTCCTTTCCTAGTAGTTCCTAACCCGGCATCGGGGCCTGGATTTGATTTACCAGGTTCAAAGGAGCTGGTTCACTGACGATGGGTACTTGGAGGGGGCCCTACAAAGATACAAAGGATATCTTTTCCTGATTGAACAATCTTTGAAAAATCCCATGGCAAAGGATCGACCTGTTTTCCTCGTTCCGACTTACGACATTGATCTGATTTGGCACAGTCACCAGCTCCACCCGATTGCTTATGCCAGACACACCAGTGCTCGATTTGGGACAATTCTGGACCACGACGACACCGACACGGATCGAGGCGAGGGAGCGAAGCTGCACAGCAGCTTCCTTGAAACATGCAACAAGTGGTGGGCTACTTTCGGGACCGTGTATGAACGAGCTGGAGCGATGTATCGAGGGCCCGAGCCGCAGGTGGAGCCTATCCCGCCTTCGCCCGATAATGATCCCAAGGCCCTTGAAGAAGAACGGAGGTTGCTAGAGTTTACTTACAAGAGACGCTGGAATTCATCCTCCTTCGACAGCCACATGGAGTCTTGTGCTGAAGATAGTCCTGACGCTTACTTGAGGTCGACCTTCGAGGTGAGAACCCCCAGACAACCGGGATCGTGCTCCTGCACAGACCCATTTGAATGCTTCTGGTGAATAATTCAGATGGGCTTGCGCTTGAGGATGATTCCTTTTGTAATTCGCGATTTACTCCAGCTGTGAGGTGGAACAGGCTTAATGAGGAATTGAATTGCCATCAACTAAAATTTACTCTCACTCAAGAGCCTTGAGGAGAAACTAGGAGCAGAAAGTCAAGATTTTGTTGGAAGATGAATCCTGACTGGCGGGTAAATGAATACTAAAGATTAACATAGCAAAACGAAGTCGACTGTTTCATACAGCGAGTCAAACCTCGTTATCTCTCGAGTCCAAATAGCAAACATGTAAGCAGCAAATCTAGGACCATCGACAGCCTCCAATCCTTCTTCATTCACAGTTCTCTTTTCAACATCAAGTCGAATGTTCTCACAGTGCAAGTTTAAAACCAGCGGGAACCTCAAGAGAAAACGGACAGATCCACATACCTACATGTCTGAGATTTTATCTCTTTTGGGTAGAGAGAAAAAGTCGAGTCGTTGGTTTTCTTTCATGAATACCCAAAGTATCCAAGTAAACGTTATCACTAAGTAAGTGGAATCATTGTTTGATATGATAATTGTTAAAGGACGTTATGATAAGGGCAATGCATCCTCAAATATGAAAAGCTGAACCTGAGATGTGATTCTGATATACTATTACTAAATCATTGAATATTCGCAAGTTGTGATGGTTCAGTCTGAAATTTATTGCACCCAACTTTCACTCAGGTGCATCTGGTGGTTCTGGGCGCCCGAAATCTGCCTCATCCGTCAACTAGCTTTAAGGAGACATTCAGTGTTCGTGTGAAAACCATAGAGAATTGCAAAGGTTTTTGGACCAGTACAGCTGCTATTGAAAGAAGCCAATTCGGAAATCAGGCGGAATGGAACTATGGTCTTGCTATGGAAGCTGAACGGGGAACAGAAGGTCTGCAATTCGAACTGTGCTGCCACAGGTTCAGGAGAAAACGATTTGCAGGACGATGCTTCCCTTCGAAATCATCGCCATACAAATTCGATCAGGAAGTTAAATATGGGAGCCCAATGAAAACAGATGTAATGAGCGATACCCAGATCTTGGGAAGCATTTCCATCCCTTGGAGGAAACTTCACTCGTCTAAGCCAGACCAGTGGACAACTAAATCGATGAATCTTGACCTTCTTTCCGTGATTCTCGACATATCCATTTCTGTAACACCATCTCAGCCTGGACCGAAGTTGCTCCGCGCACTGCGTTCGCCTGTGACAGATGATAGCTGCAAACGCATCGCACTTGATATTGACTCAGACGCACCTCCTCAGTCAGGACGCTGGACGACCAAGATCGTGGTGAATTACACTGGAGAGCCCTTGTACGTGATTCGAACCAGGTATGTGACTCTCGAATACCATTCTTGTGATTTCCGCTATAAATCTTGACAAGCTCGATTCTAGTTTCCACCTTGAGTAGCATTAAACGCGGCCCAACCTTCCTGCGGTTAAAGGAGAGGTAAATTTCGTGGCAGAAAACAGCAGTCCGACTATTCTTTCTCGATGTGTTGTCTCTCAATTTGAGAGAATGACTGAATCCAGAACGCTGATCTTGATCTGGTCCGACTATTCTTTCTCGATGTGTTGTCTCTCAATTTGAGAGAATGACTGAATCCAGAACGCTGATCTTGATCTGGTAAGCAAACTAGCTTGGAGGTCTTCAAGTTATCTATATCCCCATTGGAGTAAGTACCAAGTCTCTTGTCTGCCTGTACTTTCCATGCAGATCAGCACATCTTGCAATTGGTGCGCCGGCCTCGTTGCAATGCAACTGGGAGGACACAATTGTGCAGATACATCAAGCAGAATGTGTATCGGACGGGGTTACAAGTAAGCTGCAACCATGACACTCGGGTTTTAACATTTTCTGTCTTGTAATGTTTCTATATAAGAATTTTCAATCGGCCAGAAATATTTCCATCCGTTGAGATACGTTGGTCTGTTTCATCCGATCAAAATGTCGAGCAGTTTCTTGCTTCAAAAGCAAAAAATCGAGTCAACAAATTTGCATCCTCACGAAGCATCTATGTCCGGAGAGTTGAGCTCATTCAACTCGGGAGCATTTCAGCTGCAGGTGCTGTCATAGCCACAGCCAAACCACATGTGAGTGAGTTCCAGAAAGCGGAAAAGGATCAGGTTCAGCAGTGGTCTCTCTTCAATGACGGAGCCTTTCTGACGGTCCGTAAACCCCCAAACGACAGGCCAGGAAACCTCGACTGTGAAATCCACGGCAGATGTGGTCCACACCCGGTAAGAAGTCAAAATTTAAAATTTTGTGTTATCGCGTTGTTTACAAATTGTCAGGGGTCATTTTCTCTTACATATCAGGAGAAACTGCACTCCCTCCCACCAAAGTCGATCTGGGGATTGCTACCTCGCTTCAACTGAGAATGTGTGCGATTTTCGCTTCGTGGAGAATTTCCAGATGAGGTTGCTCTCAGGCAGAAGAATCGAATACGCTACCGCTGACGAAACTTCCACTGGCAAGTTCCTAACGCTAGTTCGATATACTCCGGACGCTCCCAAAGGCAAGGCCACTGCTTTACTCAGCTTGAGCACAGCCTGCTTCGAGGTAATGGTGTGATGTGAGCCTCTCTAGATCTTCCGACTATCATAATGTAAGCACGTTCGTGATTGAGGAATCACCTCCAGTTCAATCTGCAAGCAATTAGACCTCGAGAGCATGCTGTTCCGACAGTCCCGACGTTTAATCCTCTCAAGACTGATTCGCCAAATTTGCCCTTAGATAGACTTACAGCATATGCTTCGGCATTACGATTTCTGAGTAATCGTGTGTAATTTCGTGTATAAGTAGCAGGATGCTCGAAGATCTGTCAGCTATGAATGAATATAAATAACTGATACTCATCCACCTGATATCTCTGTCGTTGTGACAATATCGTATGAAAACGCAGATCATGCCAGGTGAAAGTTCGGTGTTAGTGCTCTTGATCTGCTCTGCGGTGAACATGTCTATGCACGACTTTGGCATACCCATACATTCTTCACTCTGGAGTGTTAATTCTTGCGTTCCAGAAACAACGACCAGAGGCAAATATGGCGGCCAAATAGGTGAGCAAATTGAGTTTCCCTCAAGACAACCATACGAAAAACATGTCGAACGTTTGCTTCATGCGTTTGAAGCAAACGTTCCAAGCTCCTTTGAACTTTTTATATAACTCATACCTGTCCGCTTAATAAGCCTTCACATCTCAGAGCAAGCTCCGGGGTACGAGTCTTCCAGCTGCAGATGAGACAGATCCTTAAATCCTTGCAAGTCCTAAAAAACGTCAACGAGTTTTATCACATGGGCAACCTCGGCCTGGGGCCGGGTCAATACTTGCATGCTAGTCCAGACGAAGAAGAAATCAGGGAACTCCAGTTCTTGGGTTGTTGACCGCAATGTTGGCATTTCAGGCGCAATCAGGATGCTCAAGAACCATCTCTCGGCAAAATGGAGCACGCCGCTTCCCTCGGACATCCCGAAGATCCCGGAGGTGCAGCCCAGGCCAGGGAAATCCAGTTCTTGGGTTGTTGACGGCAATGTTGGCATTTCAGGCGCAATCAGGATGCTCAAGAACCAGCTCTCGGCAAAATGGAGCACACCGCTTCCCTCCGGAAAACCGGAGGTGCAGCCCAGGCCAGCTCTGTACCAACCGTGGTGGCAACTCGGCGGGGACATGGAGTCTCGGCACTATGACCTACAGGGCACCACTTGCCGGCCTGCGGCATGCGCCGGCGCAGCTTGTGGGGGGAACCAACGTCGCCGTGCAATTGAAGAAAGAGGGGGCGGAGGTGCGGGTGGAGGTTTTAGCGCAGGGAGAGGAGGAGGAGGAGGTGGTGGTAGTTGCGGAGGAGGATGTGGAGGAGGTTGTGGCAGTTTCTGAGAGAGGGCTTTGAACCCAGTCAACCCAGCTACCAGAGTACAGTACCGTGGTTGCTTTTCGTGTTGATTTTCTGACCACTTCTGCACGATACAAGTCACTATTTTCTTCATTGTACAGGAATTATGTCCGATCCATAATTTGGGAAACAGTCTTGTAAGTGTGCGTTTGCCAGTAATAAAATAGGATGCTGATTCGAATCTTCACTAGTATACTCCTCTTTTATCTTATTATAAGGTCTATGCATGTCAAAACGATACGTTTAGGGTCATCACGGTGTATTTATATCTACAATTCTCAGCATTCTGAAATGACTCTGTTGAGATCATGTTGATTCTCAATGCAAACTCTAATGGTTACAAAAAATTTCGATCTTTACTGTGTAAACTGTGTAAACGCGGCTGACGGTGATATTTCCATAGTCGATATGACACCAGTGTACCACCACTCGGATGATATGTTGAGAATGAAGTATCGAGCATATGGGTCCCGTTCTTAGCTGAGTCCTATGGGAAAGAGTGCGCTTCACTCTCAGGTGGTGGATGCATTCAACGTCACCATTAGTGGGCATTCGTGATAGCTGTGGGAGGCACTGCATCCCACATCATCACTGAAGATCCGGCCTCAGGATCTCCTTTCAAGGTTTGTTTCCGCTCGAGCAAAACATCACTGGATTCCAAAGCACTGCTACACCACTGTTGAAACACTACGAATAATACACTTCCATGATTCGTCTATCCTTCCCGCTGAAAAGATACTGTTTGACTGTTGTAAACAGTATCCTCTTCTCCCCAAGTTAGCCTGTAGATTCAGACTGTGAGTTCCATCTGAAGACTGGAACGGAACTCCCATGGCCGCAGATTAACTCTGGAAAGCTAGTTCCAGAGTTAATCTGGACCCCAAATCACCTACTGAAGTATACGTTAATTTTCTCGAGAGCTGACTAATTCTGATGTGGTCTAGCTGTGAAGACCATGTATTATCTCTTTATGAACACTGAAGTGGAGGAGTTCCAATCTCAAGTCTTGTAACATAACTTTTTCACTAGATGGAGACAATTTGGCACAATATGTTATTTTATAAATCTCCACAGTTCGGATAATCATATGTGCATCTTAGTTTTTGCTGTAGTTGAGTATCATAAATCATTTTTTCGTTTTTAAATATTCTGAGACGTTTCTCCAAATAAGGTATCCATGATTTAGACTGGTATTTTTGGGTGACTTCATTTTCCTCTAGTAGCACATTAGATGGGTTTCGAAAATAAATCTTTCTCTAGATTCTCAGACTAGTTTAAATCATCACATTCTTTTTCTGTTGATAGTATGTCTGCAGGTGAAAACCAGAGTTGATTATCTACATTTGACCTGTATCCGTGATGGTCTGACGTCTTTTGAAATCTTACTGACTCCATGATGTCTATACTGTAAAATCTTATCGTCATCTTTTGCCATGTATCTCTTACAAATTATATAAATGTTGGTCAGAGACTTGATATAAGCAAAAAAAGACATGCTTCATTGACAAAACTATGCGTGCAATATTCAAAAATATATAGTTTTGAGATATGTGCAGATTGAGGTATATATTGAGTCACTTTTTTTTTCTCTGATAAATGTTTCAAACATAATAACTACTCGTAATCGTACACGATGTAAAATAGGAAAGATATATTACAATATGGCTTGGACACTCAAACATAAGCGAATTTTATATTTTCTAGCTTACCTTGGTGGTTGTAATGTGCCAAAATTGATGTAATTATTTGAAAGCTGTTAATCCTACACACATGATTAGAGATGCTCATAAAACTGCCTCGAGTAAAGAATATGAAAGTCCTGTGAATGACACATAATCTGTTAGAGTTTACATTGGCTTTCATGCTTATGCCCGCGTTTGACCCGAAAAAGTCCTGGGGTATAATTGTATAATCGTTGGAACTTATTAGTTAAAGAATAGATGGAGCTTAAATTTTGATATTGAATTTTTTGATCGAACCTATTCATTTAAAATAGTACCTTTTCATGTAATAATCAATTCTCTTGTGGATGAGTGTCATTCGATTCTATGATATCTTCGATTTTTCATCCGCGCCTTTGGAACTTATCAGTTAATGAATAGATGGAGCTTAAATTTGGATATTGAATTTTCTGATCGAACCTAATTTTCTAGAATAGTACCTTTTGATGCAAGATTCAATTCTCTTGTGAATGTGTGTCATCTGATTCTATCAGATCTTCGCCTTTTCATCCGCGCCTTTGGGTTTGGGTTTGGGTTTTCAAAAGTTAATCACCTCATCCAATGAAGATTTTCAGAAACATTCAGTATCAATTATTTAAGTTGTGTGATGGCTTACTTGAATCCAGCAATAGAATGTACACTTTAGACCTAAAAATTTCACCGATCTTATCAATTACATTGAACATATAATGAATAGCTTTTCTGGTTCAGATAAGATCAGGGTTATAAAAAAGGGAGGGTTCAGAAACTGAATCCCATACTCATGACTAAATTCATCAAAAGAGATTTTCAAGCGCAACAATATTCACCTGAGTATATCCCTAGATTGCAAAGCTTACGTTGAAAAAGAGTACAATGCTATTTTTTTCTCCAATGCTGTGCAGGTTGTGCTGGAGCATAAAAAAGTATAATCAAAATACATATAGATCTTATGAAAAAAGATGACCAAAAAAAAGTATTTGAGTTTTTCGGATCTCCATAGAACTCAGAAACAGTAAGTCAGATCGTCTCGAACCCTGACTATTTGACTGCAAGGGCCTAATGCCAGGGTTCTCCCCTAATATCGGCTCATCATGGCGAGCACAGCCGTCTTCATCGCAGATGACGACGAACCATTGGACTTCCGATAGTTCAGGGACTTATGGTAGTTCTTAGCATAAACCTCGGCCCAGACCTTGTTCATGTCAGTCCGAAAGCTTGACAATTCGTCCTGCTTCAGCTTCAGCCGGTTGAGGATGATGGGCAGAGCCACAGAGGGATTCTTCCGTACCTGGTCAACGACTTCCAGGCCGTGGTCGCCAAAAATCCGCTCGACGCAGCGAAGGTTTATGGGCGTCAAGTGATCCTCCACGTGCAAGTTGAGCTTGCTCAAACTTGGATCCTGCAGAGTGTCGAGCAATTTTGTCACCCGCCGGGCCGTGTCATTGGTGGATTCAAGAAGCATGTCCAATTCGAACTGTTCGTCCTCGCAGCGGAAGAGGATCTCCTCGTACTGGTTCTTCCGCATGTGCTTGAACTCTCCGCTCCCGGATTTAACCGAGACCCAGCTATCGTTCAAAACCTCACGTAGGATCCCAGTTTGAGCAAGCTCAACTTGCACGTGGAGGATCACTTGACGCCCATAAACCTTCGCTGCATCGAGCGGATTTATGGCGACCACGGCCTGGAAGTCGTTGACCAGGTACGGAAGAATCCCTCTGTGGCTCTGCCCATCATCCTCAACCGGCTGAAGCAGGACGAATTGTCAAGCTTTCGGACTGACATGAAAAAGGTTTGGGCCGAGGTTTATGCTAAGAACTACCATAAGTCCCTGAACTATCGGAAGTCCAATGGTTCGTCGTCATCTGCGATGAAGACGGCTGTGCTCGCCATGATGAGCCGATATTAGGGGAGAACCCTGGCATTAGGCCCTTGCAGTCAAATAGTCAGGGTTCGAGACGATCTGACTTACTGTTTCTGAGTTTTATGGAGTTCCGAAAAACTCAAATACTTTCTTTTGGTCATCTTTTTTCATAAGATCTATACGTATTTTGATTATTTTCAAAGACATGAACTCGACTCGACTGACGTTGACGGTCAGTCAAGAATCGAGGGCCTTTGCTTTTCGTTATTTCCTCCTATCTCTAAAACTGACAAAACTGTAAAATCAAATGGTACACATACCCAAAAGTCCACAGTAAAAATCCAACGATTTCTCGAGGTTCTCGCATCAAAGGGCGACATGATTCAACCCTGTGAACTGGACTGAAATACTCAAACACACGTAGGATGACATCGCAGTCATCCATGCACTAGTTGAGTAATTAAGAAGAACGACATTGTTTCATGAATAGTATTCATATTGATGAGTCAAATATGTCTGCAAGTTTTTCTATGTATCGAGTTTGGCACCAATCTCTTTCCCTCGATAATATGGAACAAATGATTGAAAACAGACATGATTGTACGTGACTACAATATATTTTACTTACAATATGATTGTCGACTGTGACAATCTACAAATGAAATATTTGCTCAAAAGTAATCTACAAATGCTAAATATTATGAGAAAATTCACGGGTGTGGAATAGAAACAAACATGAAGGAGAAACCCTGAAAGTTTTCGAATTACCATCTGCAGGCTCAGATGAAGATTTTGTCTCTTTGGAGGTAGGAGGATTTTGGAGGATTTTGTCTCTTCAATATTTTCCATCGTCAAATTCATGAAATCTACACTGTTGTAGAGTTGAGATTTGGAATCGGGTAAAGACACATCATGAACTGCCCCACGGGAGCCCAGGTCAAGCTCACTCGACACAGATCCTTCTTCCCCTCTTCATTCGTCCTTAAACATGTCCGATTGGTAAAACGTAATTACTCTACGAAGCTCAATTTACTGTCTCAGCTGCAAGAAGTTTAAGTTCGATCCAAGGAAGCACAATCAAATACTCACTGTCGTTGAATGTATTTGGTATATTTGAAACTAGTGAACCAGGAGTTACCTCCTAAAAACTCGAAAAGACAACCAAAGATACATACATAATATCAGTCATAATTACTTCAACCAAAAACTCTAACAAGATGTTTATGATTATGAAAATCTTGCTGAAGCAAATGACTACGATATATCATTGGTGACTTATGACTACCCTATAATAGCATGACTTGTTACCACCCTACTCCTCTCTAACAAACAAAAATACTAAAACTCAAAAGCTTACGCGAGAAGGAGACCTTGGAAGAGATACAAGCAGCACGCTTGTTTAGCATCATCAACCTTTTAGAGATGGGGAAAGAACACTTGAACGAAACTGCGAAGTGCCCTCAGCCCCACATATGGGCAATCGCGAAACTCGAACGTAGCTACATTGTGACTTCTTGCTCGTGGAGCTGTTTGCATCCCGGTAAGTGTCTGACTGCGCTTCCCCGCAAGTCTCACTTTGGAGATTAGCTCCTTCTTCTTTTCCGGATTTCAGACCACGTTATATGTGCCCGCATGCAAGTGCTAGTTGGCCTTGAGGGGTTGTTCCTGCCCCTCCTTGCAGGATGACCTTCTCAATTCCGCTGTTTCTGCATAATGCGCATCTAGCGCATCTTCCGAGTGTGCCCATTGCCTTTTGCTATGTATCCACTTTCGGTGTTGCTGCCCCTAGCAACAAGTGAGCGATCCCCTCACTCAGCCCTACATATGGATGATCGTTTCATGTCATGATCCTTAAATTTTAAACAAAACTTAATAGTTAACTGAATCTAAGGATATGTTTGACAATGTATGAACAAAAAAACCACAGAAAGGAGCACAAAAGAGAAAAGTAGAAGCACAAGAGACAATGCACGCAGCTTCAACGTCAATAAGTACGTGGTTTGATTCAGGTTACATCCAAAAGAACATAAGGCTTCTTGAAATATCCTAAACAGTGCTCAGGACGAGCTACGTCTTGTACTCCTAAATTGTTCGAAGCAAATATCCTAAACTCAAATGATTTGGGTTACCAGCCGTTTTTAATGATCACTAACACTATCGTAATCGGAGACAGGCCTTTCATTGTGGGCAGAGTACTACATCTGCCCTGGCTAGCTAGCTAATATATATATATGTATATTCTTCATTTATTACTAGGCTCTTTTGGATTCTTGTTGTTCCCTTGGATGTTTTGATTTCTTTGCATCCCACCTTCACAATATTGTCCCCTTATATAGTTCACGTGTGATACGAATTGAACAGCAGGCGGCATGGTCAGTGGACAAATGCATACGCAGTTCCAGACAAGCCGACACTAGACACCTCGGAAGTATTTCGAGGCCTTACGTATGGAAGTTGCAGATATCGGATTTGAATCATAGTTTTAAGACGTGATCTGGACCTAATCATATCCCAGGTGTCTGCGTTTCTACTTTACATATACTCTGAGACTTTGAAGCAATGTGGACATGAATCCCGAAAATCACTAACTGACTAGAACTCGTAGCTGAAGTCCTATAGATGCAGTCTACCGTTACATGGAATCAAAAGCCGGGCAGATGGTGGTTTTGTCCGCGTCCCAAACCGTGGAAGTGTGATTTTGCGACAATTTTTTTTTTAATTCATGATGTTAAAATACAAGTTTAATAAATGTTTAAATAGAATACAAAAATATTATTCTTGATTTATAAGTAGTAATCAATCTCTTAATCTAACATAAAGCTACAGTCATAACTAGATTACATATTAAAACAAGTGCACATACTAGATAAATTGTAGTATATTTTGTTATTATTCACATTTATTTCTTATGTGGAATCTATAGACATTAATGTGTCTTTGAAGACATTTTTTTTGTTATAGGTTGTATTGTCTTAAAGTCTGTACACCAATTTGCAATCAATTAAAACTTGATTTTTTTTTTCATTCTTTGAATCATCATTTATTATTATGATAAATTTTTAAATAAAAAATTAGAGAATCAACTTTGAATCAACTTTTGAGAATTCATTGTATAAGTACAATCACTAAGTTTGAAACAGCAGGATACAACATAATTAAATACAATGCACTTAGTGATTATTTACTCTAGGAGACACAAGTAAAAAACAAGCTAAAGATTTTGAATCTCGGAAAAACTTTGAAGTCAAAATCATCTAACTATAACCACGACCAGAGAAAAAAATCCAAATCTAGAGATAAATCTGTAGAGAGTAAGACACTCATGTGTTAGAAATGTGACAAAAATACTCAAGTGAAGAGTCTATACATTGTGAAGACCAAATGTGTTGATGCTCCAATAGTTCATGTAGTTTAATAGTTTGATTTTGAATAGGATGACTTGTTGTACGATAGATTACGATGCCAGAACAATTTTCTGTACAATTTATCAATAATTGTTGATGATGAATAGATTCTAGATGATATTTGTTTTTATTACATATTATATCAAAAAAAATTCCTTGTATTTTTTTAGATCTTGCCAATTTAATTCATATAAATAAAGGTCAACCTTGTAATATTGATACAATTGGTATTGAAATATTAATGTCAAATTCAACCTTTCATGACTATCATTGACCACTATTCCGCAAGCTACGGGATATAACCGGTTAATAACCGCCAATTATTAACCGGGTCAGATATCCTACATGCAAATTAGAACACCAATGGATGGTGCATGTAATACGTGAGGAGACTTAGTCGGAAGGAAACTTGAGAATCACTGTAAAGTGAGGTTGACAAAACCGCTTTGCCGCGAAGAAGCAGAGAAGGCAGCCCCTTCGTCGAACATCAAAGTCAACCAAGAGATAAATGTTTTGCACTCCAAGTCAAACAGCACCTGTCCCTTCGCCGAGTTGAAAAGGAATATCAAATCAGTATCTGCACTGCATCGTAGCCTCATACACTGTAGTACTCCACTTGCATATGCATCCAAAGCTGCTTTTCCGTGAATTTATGAAGCTGAGAAGGAGATATTGCCTTCTGGCTCAGCAGCAATATCGGTGTTGACTCCATCTACGTGGGAGGGAACCTAACAGCCGACGAAGGGTTTATTAACTCGTCACACGGTTATGCAGTAATTGTAACTCGATGACGCCTAGCGTGGAATCTCGAGACCAATAAATCCAACCTCTTCTCAAGATCCACTCGCCAGTTTCTACTATTCAGATGGAGAAATTTCTAACGAGCTTTGCAGTTCATGTTTATAATCAATGGAGTACATATCCGTATCAGGGCTTGGAGCAAGGCGCGAGTCGAATGAGCTACATACTTCAAGTCTAAGATTATGGCACTCAGCTTCTCTTGCATGAAAGTTCTAGAGGAGGATGAGGTCGAGATGCAATGCTCAGCGTCCATTGTGGATTCAGACCACAGATTTTACGGAGTACAGGCAGGCCGTCGACCTTTTGTTGTAGACTTGATCACATGTAGCCGATGCATTTTTCTCCTCAAGAGCTGCTCTTCTGAACTGAGAAATCTGATGTTGAGGCCTCGCCAGTCTCCGGGGAAGGGACGTAAGAGCACTACCAGCAGCTGTGTTTTTTAACAGATACGAGTGAAACTGTTCAACTGAGGTGGACGAAAGAAGTGCAATTTGTGTTTCAATCAAGCCCAAGAGACTCTCTCACAGCTTACAGAAATATCGATTATCAGTGTCGAATATGTCGTCACGCAAGTCGGTAGAGATCATCAGCGATGGACAGCTTAACTGGAACACAGCTCAATCTTTTCTCGGGAGTAAGTTTGACGCAGACCTGATTGCTTCAGCGCAGGAGCAGGTTCGCTTCCTGGCGCTTGTGAAGAAGACCCCAGCTTTACGAAGGCCAGAAGTTTTGAAATGCGCCATACATCGGTACGTATTCGCTTCAATTTAATCTGCCAAAATCTCTTCGATTCCACAGGAATTTGCTAGACTAACAAGATACTTCTGGATGAAAGTGGATACATCTGTTGTAGAAAATGGTAGGGATAGAATAAAGCAGCAATAACTCTTTGAAGAAACCAATGCCCAAAGGTTTCTCTATGATTTTGCATTGCTTTCACCTTTTTCTTCGAGCCGCAAAATCTTTCAAGGCGCACCTTTGGCTTTACTATATCCGTACTTCTTCGGTCTCCGGACCCACTGGAGGCAAAGAAGTCTCGGATCCAAATTGCAGCTAAAGCTCTTCATCACTCCGATGCATTTTGTTGCTTTGTTTGTTGCACGTCCAATTCAGATGTCTGCTGCTCTGAATTTCTTACGTTTCATCGGCAGATACTGGAACAACTATCTTCCATTAGCAGCAAAGTTCCAGTCCAAAGGATTTCCTGATGCTGTTGTAGCCAAGACCGGTGCTCATTTTGTACCACCTTTGGATTGCGCATGGATCTGGCATTGCCACAAGTTGAGCCCGGTAAGCCTCCACAATTTCTCTTAGTGTTTCAATTGTCAACATGGAAGTACAGAAACAGGATAAAGTCATCGTAGTGCTGTAGCCTGTGAACGCTCTCGGACGTTCAAAATCTCAAATGGCCTCCGAACGATCGATGACTTCAGATGCGGTATGCAAGTGACTGCAGAAGATTGTTTGGAGAGATCATTGACATCAGAACTATCCCCAGTGAAGGATCTGAGATGAATAACTCAGAACGAGATTCGTGCACTTTGTGGCAATTGGAATACCCGGATGAGCCATACCATCTAGTTCAGCTTTGGGAAGATGGCACCAGCATGGAGTTTCAAAATTCTCTGAACCGCACACCGAAGGAGACTTCTCTCATTGAGTCATACAACCTAGAGGCTGCAGCTGCCAGACAGGCCCCTTTCTACTTTCAGGTGCGTGCCGTCAGCTGAAACTAAGTAACTAAGATCGCCATGCTTTCTCCGTCAAGGGTCTGAATACATTGACGGTCGCATTCCGCTGGCAGAAAGTGCTCGAATTGCTGAGCCGATCAATTCCGAATGAACGTATTTTCCCTTCCTCTCGATCGATATTTGTGTGCATCGAAGAGACTCACTTGTTGACCTGCAACTTGTTGATAAGATGACTCGGTTAAAACGCACATTATATTCAGCCAAGTTCCCAATTTTGAATTTGTGTCTTCCGAGGTTAGATGTTTACAACTGCGTCACATGAGGATGGCAAGCTGAAAATTCAGTTTGTTACATCTGCACAGCTCCTTTCTGAGTAGTCCTTGACCCGGCCTCGGGGCCTGGATTTGATTCACAGGTTCAAAGGAGTTGGTTCACTGACGATGGGTACTTGGAGGGGGCCCTACAAAGATACAAAGGATATCTTTTCCTGATTCAACAATCTTTGAAAAATCGCATAACAAAGGATCGACCTGTTTTCCTCGTTCCGACTTACGACATCGATCTGATTTGGCATAGTCACCAGCTCCACCCGATTGCTTATGCCAGACACACCAGTGCTCTATTTGGGACGATTCTGGACCACGACGACACCGACACGGATCGAGGCGAGGGAGCAAAGCTGCACAGCAGCTTCCTTGAAACATGCAACAAGTGGTGGGCTACTTTCGGGACCGTGTATGAACGAGCTGGAGCGATGTATCGAGGGCCCGAGCCGCAGGTGGAGCCTATCCCGCCTTCGCCCGATAATGATCCCAAGGCCCTTGAAGAAGAACGGAGGTTGTTAGAGTTTACATACAAGGGACGCTGGAACTCGTCCTCCTTCGACAGCCACATGGAGTCTTGTGCTGAAGATAGTCCTGACGCTTACTTGAGATCGACCTTGGAGGTGAGAATCCCGAGACAACCGAGATCGTGCTCCTGCACAGACCCATTTGAATGCTTCCTGTGAATAATTCAGATGGGCTTGCGCTTGAGGATGATTCCTTTTGTGTTTCGAAATTTACTCCAGCTGTGAGATGGAACAGGCTTCATGAGGAATTGAATTGCTATCAACTAAAGTTTACTCTCATTCAAGAGCCTTCAGGAGAAACTAGGTACAGAAAGTCAAGATTTTGTTAGAAGATGAATACTGACTGGCAGGTAAACGAATACTAAAGATTAACATAGCAAAACGAAGTCGACTGTTTCCCATAGCGAGTCAAACCTGGTTATCTCTCGAGTCCAAATAGCAAATATGTAAGCAGCAAATCTAGGACCATCGACAGCCTCGAATCTTTCTTCATTCACAGTTCTCTTTTCAATATCAAGTCGAATGTTCTCACAGTGCAAGTTTAAAACCAGCGGGAACCTCAAGAGAAAACGGACAGATCCACAGACCTACATGTCTGAGATTTTATCTCTTGTGGGTACAGAGAATAATTCGCGTCGTTGGTTTTCTTTCATGAATTCCGAAGTATCCAAGTAACTGGAACTCATTGTTTGATATGATTATTTTTAAGGGACGTTATGAAAAGGGCAATGAAACCTCAAAATTTGAGGTTGCTTTGCATATTTGATGCTCAAATATGAAAAGCTGAACCTGAAATTGTGATTTTAATATACGATTACTAAGTCATTGAATATTCGCTAGTTGCGATGGTTCAGTCTGAAATTTATTGCTCTAGAAACTCACCTTCAACTTTTTTTAAAGATTTGTTGGTGTCAAATGCCATGAATGCCAGAGGTGGATAACTTGAGCAATTACTGAGTCACTGACTTTCACTCAGGTGCATCTGGTGGTTCTGGGCGCCAGAAATCTGCCTCATCCGTCAACTAGGTTTAAGGAGACATTCAGTGTTCGTGTGAAAACCATAATGCATACCAAAGGTTCGTGGGCCGAAACAGCTGATATTGAAAGAAGCCAATTCGGAAATCATGCGGAATGGAACTCTGGTCTTGCTATGGAAGCTGAAGAGGGAACACGTGGTCTGTATTTAGAACTGTGCTACCACAGGTTGAGGAAAGAACGATTTGCAGGACGATGCTTTCCTTCGAAATCATGGCCATACATATGCGATCATGGAGTTGAATATGGGAGCCCAATGAAAAAAGATGTAATGAGCGATACCCAGATCTTGGGAAGCATTTCCATCTTTTGGAGTCAACTTCAATTTTCCAAGCCAGTTAGATCGATGGTTCTTGACCTTCTTCCCGTGAAACTCGACGTATCCATTTCTGTAACACCATCTCAGCCTGGACCGAAGTTGCTCCGCGCACTGCGTTCGCCTGTGACAGATGATAGCTGCAAACGCATTGCAATTCTTATTGACTTAGACGCACCTCTTCAGTCAGGACGCTGGACGACCAAGATCGTGGTGAATTACACTGGAAAGCCCTTGTACGTGATTCGAACCAGGTATGTGACTCTCGGATACAATTCTTGTGATTTCCACTACTGGACAAGCTGGATTCTAGTTTCCACCTTGAGTAGCATTAAACGCGGCCCAAACTTCTCCAGCGGTAAAAGGAGAGGTAAATTTCGTTGCAGGAAACAGCAGTCCGACTACTATTTTTCGATGTGTTGCCTCTCAATTTGACAGAATGACTGAATCCAGAACGCTGATCTTGATCTGGTAAGCAAACTAGCTTGGAGGTCTTCAAGTTACCTATATCCACATTGAAGTAAGTACCAAGTCTCTTTCTGCCTGTACTTTCCATGCAGATCAGCACATCTTGCAAGTGGTGCGCCGGCCTCGTTTCAATGCAACTGGGAGGACACAATTGTGCAGATACATCAAGCAGAATGTGTATCGGACGGGGTTACAAGTAAGCTGCAACCATGACACTCGGGTTTTAACATGTTCTGTCTTGTATTGTTTCTATATAAGAGTTTTTAATCGGCTAGAATTATTTCCATCCGTTGAGATAGCTTGGTCTGATTCATCCGATAAAAATTTCGAGCAGTTTCTTTCTAAAAAACCAAAAAAGCGAGTCAACAAATTTGCAACCTCACGAAGCATCTATGTCCGGAGTGCTAAGCTCATTCAACTCGGGAGCATTTCAGCTGCAGGTGCTGTCATAGCCACAGCCAAACCACATGTGAGTGAGTTCCACCAAGCGGAAAAGGATCAGGTTCAGCAGTGGTCTCTCTTCAATGACGGAGCCATTCTGACGGTCCGTAAACCCCCAAACGACAGGCCAGGAAACCTCGACTGTAAAATCCACGGCAGATGTGGTCCACACCCGGTAAGAAGTCGAAATTTAAAATTTTGTGTTATCGCGTTGTTTACAAATTGTCAGTGGTCATTTTCTCTTACATATCAGGAGAAACTGCACTCCCTCCCACCAAAGTCGATCTGGGTATTGCTACCTCGCTTCAACTGAGAATGTGTGCGATTTTCGATTCGTGGAGAATTTCCAGATGAGGTTGCTCTCAGGCAGAAGAATCGAATACGCTACCGCTGACGAAACTTCCACTGGCAAGTTCCTAACGCTAGTTCGATACACTCCGGACGCTCCCAAAGGGAAGGCCACTGCTATTCTCAGCTTGGGCACAGCCTGCTTCGAGGTAATGCTGTGATGTGAGCCTCTCTAGATCTTCCGAGTATCATAATGTAATCACGTTTCTAATTTAGGAATCACCTCCAGTTCAATCTGCAAGCAATTAGACCTCGAGAGCATGCTGTTCCGAGAGTCCCGACGTTTAATCCTCTTAAAACTGACTCGCCAAATTTGCCCTAAGATAGACTTACAGCATGTGCTCCGGCATTACGATTTCTGAGTAATCGTGTGTAATTTCGTGTATAAGTAGCTGGATGCTCGAAGATCTGGCAGCTATGAATGAATATAAATTACTAATACTCATCCAACTGATATCTCTGTCGTTGTGACAACGCAGATCATGCCAGGTGAAAGTTCGGTGTTAGTGCTCTTGATCTGCTCTGCGGTGAACATGTCTATGCACGACTTTGGCATACCCATACATTCAGAACCGTGGAGTGTTAATTATTGCCTAGGAGACGCAACGAAGTACGGCTTAAGCCAAGCCCGCGGCCCAATAGGTGAGCAAATTGAGTTTCCCTCAAGACAACCATACGAAAAAAATGTCGAACGCCTGCTTCATGAGTTGCTTCCAAGCTCCTTTGAAGATTTTATGTAACTCATACCTGTCCGCTTAATAAGCCTTCACATCTCAGAGCAGTTTCCGGGGTACGAGTCTTCTAGCTGCAGATGAGACAGATCCTTAAATCCTTGCAAGTCCTAAAAAAGGGCAACGAGTCTTATCACATGGGCAACCTCGGCCTGGGGCCGGGTCAATACTTGCATGCTAGTCCAGAAGAAGAAATCAGGGAACTCCAGTTCTTGGGTTGTTGACGGCAAGGTTGGCATTTCAGGCGCAATCAGGGTGCTCAAGAACCAGCTCTCGGCAAAATGGAGCACGAGAATTCACGTTGGTCCAGAGCTGGACCAACCGTGGTGGCAACTCGGCGTGAACATGTGGTCCCCATTTCAGGCCCACTGCCATCCTGCGGCATGCGCCGGCGCCGCTTGTGGGGGGAACCAACGTAGGGCAAAGATACGTGGCGGAGGTGCAGGTGGTGGTAGTTGCGGAGGAGGATGTGGGGGCGGGGGTGGAGGAGGATGTGGTGGCGGGGGCGGATGTGGTGGTTCAGACTGAGAGAGGGCTTTGAACGCAGTCAACCCAGCTACCAGAGTTCCCCGGTAAGGACGCCGAGAAGGTCATAAAGAAGGCCGTTCAGGCTGAACTCGCGAAGAACCTCAATCATGCAGCTGGTTTCCTTCGTATGCAATTCCATGATTGATTCTCTGAGGTAAGCCAGAAAAGTGTCTACGATCCCAGGTGGATCCATTCCATCCAGCGAGATCGAGATTTTTATCATTTTATCATATTTTTTCGCTTGTCCTCAGTCGCGAGTGATCCTCAGAACTTGCATCAGCCAATGGACTTCAGTTTCTTCAGGACACGATGCATGATGCTCATAGATTGCATGTTTCGCAGGGGTGCGATGGTTCTGTACTGCTCGACGGCCTGGAACGGACAAAGCATCTCATGTTAACGAAAAGCTGACAGGTTTTGAAGTCATCGACGCTGCCGTGGAAGCAGTCTGTCCTGGAGTTGTTTCATGCGCGGACATCCTCGCGAGAGCTAAGTCAACGTATGCGCACTTCATGCGTTAGAAAAAAATGGCACTCACAGTTGAGTGCACCAGCTCTTTAAATAAAAATCTAACATAAAGATAAAGCCATAACCGGATTACATACTGAAGCAAGTGCAGATACTAGATAAATTGTAGTATGTTTTGTTATAGTAAAAATGCTATTTTATAATTCACATTTATCTCTTGTGAAATTTGTAGTTATTAATCTGGTTTTGAAGATAATTTTCTTGTCATATGATGAATTGTTTTTTAACTTATACACCAAATTACAATCAATCAAAGTTTGATTCATATACTATAAGAATATTTTACTCAGATTTATTGACTCAAATTTTTTAACAAAAAGAATCTTTTATTTCTTTCAAGATCAACTCTATATCAATATCACAATCTTTAAAAATATATAATCCATACCTTGCAAGAGCACTACTTATCCCATTTGATAAGATACTAGTAGATGAGTCTGGTTGATTTTTATCATATAGTGCCATTATTTGAAGGACATTAACACTAACTTACTGTTATAATTCCTACTCTTCAAGAATCTGCTACATTTGTAACAGATTTATTCTTGTATCACATCATTAATTATATAATGATCATGCTTTTTCAATAATAGTTGTGAATGTAATGTAATAGGTCTCTTTCAAGAATGACTCGGAGATGTCAATTTCAAACACGGCAAACACCTTGAGTGTCTATATAGTGCAGTTTGTCCCAAGAACCGGCAGGGAGATGGACGAGATGAGTCACCAAAACAAGAATGAAATTGGATGAATAAACCATCTAGCTATTTTAGGCTTACTATCATGAATTACAGAACATCGTATCATGATGATGATGGTGATAGTAAGGACCAAGGGGAGGAAGGAAAGAAATCAAGGCAATCTTGTAGACATAGGAGGTCGAGGAAGCCGTACTTCCTAAGCACAATCCCAAGGTTCTTCTCCCTCCAAGTTCTTTACTTCAGCCAGCATGAATAAATGTCGGCGGCAAGTGATGCAATTGAACTTAGCCAAGCAATCTGAGAGCTATACATAGTTGGAGGAAGTCTGTAGCAGTCTTCGTGTCACTAACGAGAATGTGCAGAAGGTGACAGTGGACTTGTGCGGGAGATTGGAGAAATTCAACGAAGCGTACAAGGCGGCAATCCAACGTGCGGAGAGGCTGATCACAACTGCAGGGAAACAGGAGAAGATGCATGCTGAGGAGCTTGCTAAGGTTGAAGCACGAAGAGCCGAAGAAGCTTGTATCGCCGAAGAACTATTGGAGAAGATTGTAGAGGCAAAGACGGCAGAAGAGGAACTTTGCAATACGATTGCGGAGCTCACGGGTGAGCGTGACAAGGAATTCCAACGCGCGGAGGAGCTAACGGTGAGTCTGGCGAAGGAAATCTGGAAGCACGAAGGGGAATTGACGGATTGGGCCAAGAAATTGGCAGATTGCGAATCGGCCAGATCTTTGGAGATCGAATGTAAATTAAAAGTCGAATCGGAACGTCAACGATTACAAGAGCAGTTGGGGAAGGCGGCCATGAGATCAGAAGAGTCGCAGAGGAGAATGGAGAAGTCAGAGGCGGCCTACCGTCATCTACGGGATGAGACGACCGACGAGTTGAGATTGCGTGTTGAGAAGTGTCTGCGCAGATTCGCAATGTGGGGATTGCAATCGGTTAAGTGGCTGAAGTTAGATTTGCTAGAGCGACGTTTGATGAGTGCTAAGACCAACGGATCCGCAGGACACAAGCAGATAGAAGAGTTAGTTAATTCTTTTTCTAAGGGATTGGAAGAGGCGCGACAGAATGTAGAGATAGAGATTTGCGTAGGTTAAGAGCATACGTAAGCTCAGACGACGATGTAACCGCTACGTCGGACGGCACCGCACCTGAGAGTAGTTCACCTCAGGCAGTTGAGATTCCAGAGCTACCATTGTGAATAAAGAGGCCCAAGGCTCTTTCCTGGGAGGAAGGCTTGTCTGTCAAATGGCTTGTCTTGATTGTAAACCTGTATCCATTGTGTGTTTGTGTGCTGGTGTGTGATCAAACTCCTGTTTGTCGAAGCTACCGCATCGGGAGTTGTGAGTATCTAGCTTGAATGTTCTAAGTAGCCAGGGGCTCTTTGGGATGTAAGCAAATTCGGGTCTGGGTATTCGGGTCAGTAAGTCGGATGTATGCAATTCTGGGAAGTTTTCCCCCTGAAATCTAAGTGTGAGGTCGCAGGCGATTCCCACAGGTGTTGATTGGACAAGTTTTAGGTTGTGAGGATGATTATACTCTGCTCCTCGGATCTTCGACCGTAATCGAGCAGTGTTTTATGGGAGTGACATTGGCCTAAGAAGTAAAACTCATCAATAGAATGTTAACACGTGACAAATCGTGACTTTTGCTGTTGTTTCTGTCATCGTGGGTTCGGATCTGTACCAATATGCTCCATTTTGATATTTATCTATCATTACATGTCCCCATTCTTGATCAATTTCTACAGAGCTATGGAAGTACTGACTCTCGTAGAGAGTAGAGACTTCCCATTGTGAGAGTTGCCATAGGAAGGAAAAGAGGTGGTGGCTGCTAACGAGGTCGACTCGCATCTTGAGGTTGAACCGCGCAATTTGCCCGAGCAGAGGAGAAAGCGGCCCAGAGGCCGACAAGATTCACAGTTGAGGAAGAGACAAAGGATCGATGAGGCCGCCGTAGCAGAAGAACGGTTACGACGGGCGGCTCCTATCAAGATGCGATCGCCAGACTTTCGGGCCACGTCGAAGATGAAGGCAAAGAGGTTGATACCGGAGGAGGATAGCAGCACGAAGAGTAGAGGTGTTGCGGCAAGAGGACGTCCCACTCGGGAAGCGGGACCAGTGGCGATTACAAATAGAGAGAAGGAAGTACCAATGAGGAAGAAACCTCAAACTACGGAATTAAAGTCGACACCTGTTAAGCCACGTCGGGCTTCAAAGAAAGACAAGGGAAAGGCAGTTTTGACTGAGGAAGTACTCCCGAGGCAAGATGAGGTTCCTTTGGCGAGCAACCGAATGAGGGCTCTGCGGGAAAGAGCCGTTGAGGTGTTAGTAGTGTCATCGGACACTGCGGAGGACCCTGTGGCCTTGGAGGAAGTCGCGGCAAAGGCCGTAGAGGACGTGGAAGTAGTTGAGTTTGGACCACAGAAGGTAGCATCACCCCGGACCTCCATCGGAACAATCATACTGGAGACGGATGAGGACTCTTCAATGGCAGAGGCACAATCGCAAGCCCTCGGTGTCGCTGATATGCTATGTGTGCAGGTACTTTCGTTGCTCCACTACCTCGACCGAAAGCAGGAGAAGTATGCAGACGCCAGCATGACCGGGTCTTACGTGGAGATAGAACCTAACCGGATGCGGACCAAGGTAGCGGCGGCTGCTAAGGTCGTCGCAAAGGAACGCAAGAGTCAGTCGACAGAAGCGAGGTATCAGGCACTTTAGAAGAGGTAGGCTGAGGAAGTTGAGAAGCGAAGGCATACGGAGAAAAGCTGCGAGAGTCTTCGGGAGGACGTGAAGAGGGCCAAGTGCGCAACCGTGGACCTCTTGAAGAGGTTGGAGGCGTGTCGGACCGCTTATGACGCTGAGTCATTGAGGGTAGATGAGTTGTCGGCCACCGCCGAGAAGAAGGAGTCTAGAGTACCAAACCGAGTTAGCTTTGAGGGTGAAGAAGTTGGCCGAGTACGAAGCTGCGCAGATCTTGGATTTGGAGTTAATAATGAAGCTAGAGGTGTGGTGGAGCGAGCTGAGGACGCAACGGTCGCAAGCTGAGGAGCAGTTATGCGAGGTGGGAACGAGATTGACGGAGGCTGAGGGGATGAATCGGCAGTTACCCGAGCAGACGCGTGACGCGTTAACTGCAAAAGCGGAGCTGTGCTTACGCGGGTATGTTTTATGGCAGATCGAGTCACACAACAAACTTTGGTTACACAAAATTGAGCATCGTGCGGCTGAATTGATAGCGCGGAGCGGTCAAAGGCATCGCCGGTTAGCCAAAAAGCTCAAAGCGTACCTCTTGAGATCGCGGGACGCGGTAGCAAAATCTGGAGTTAGAGCTAGTAGGCGTTTTGAGAAGATTAGGTTTAGAGTGGAAGTTAGAGGGAGCGGCAACTGCCGACTCCGCAGGTGTAGGACCTGTTCGGAGCTTGCATCTGAGCAGGTGTCAATTTTGGTAGTTAGGAATGAAATAGTCCAAGGCATTGGCCTTGGAGGTCTATTCTCAATTTAGTTTCTCAATTTTGAGCTCTGTATTCTCTGCGCGTTTGTGAGTTGAGTGTGTTGGTCACCGCGTGAGAGGTACTTCGGTTTGTCAAAGATACCGCATCCGAAGTCGTAGCTCCAATTCGAATGTTTTGAGTAGCAATTGGCTAGTGTCAGGATTTAAGCAAATTCGCAATTGGCAACTGTGTGCAGAACCTCTAAATGTACACCTTGGGAATTTTCCCCCCTGAATCCTAAGACGAGGTCGCGATTGACCTGTGAGTTGCTGCAATTGATTGTTTAAGATGTGTGTGTGTGTGATTTACGCTGCATTGCTTGTTCTCTAAGAGACCTCCGAGTCGAACACCTGAAGTACTTCTGGGAGTGACAGTAGCCTCAGAATTCAAACTTCTCAATAGACTATTAAATGTGTGACACTTGGTACTCTTTGTGTTGTTTCTCTCCTTGTGGGATCAGATCTTTATCATTATGCTCCATTTTGATAGTTATCTGTCATTACATAGATAATTTTCTTTTGGCACCATTGCCGGGAACAAAGTGTCAACACGAGAGTACGTGTGCAGAGATGCACGATGAATGTCGACGGAAGATGATCCTAACGAGATAAGTGACCGAACTGCACGGTATCTCCGTTGAGGGGAAAAGAAGGCGAATCAACCTTAAGCTACGCCTGAACCAAATCGAAGAAAAGGGAGGGGAAAAGGAAAGAAATAAGAACCCCTTCTCCATGTGACCGCACCACCACAGGCGAGGCGACCTACAACATCACCATTCACGCACAAAGCCTTTGTTCGAGAGAAGTTGGCAACTCCAACTCGATTAATTCATATCTCCAACCTCTCGAGGAAGCACATGCGCTAGACGTTGAAGCCCCTTCTCAGATTTACACCACCCCGTACTTTTTGCTACCGGGAGGT